AAACCAAACATATTTTGCATTTTTTTTTATATATTTTTTTACATAAACCATTGTTTTTGTTCATCCCATTGTTTTTAAATATTTACGAAGTCTTGAAATTCTTAACATCCGTTGTTCCACTTTGCCTTTCATGAACCCAATTGAAAGACTGTTTTAAATTCTTTTCATATGTTATCATTTTTTTATAATATCCATACTACCATATGCCTTATCACTAAACACAACATGAAAGGCAGTTATAAACATCTCAAGACGTTCTATTAAATATCTCACGACTTTCTACTTTTCAGACTTTCTTATACCGAAAAAAAGCAAACGACCATGGCGCGCAATGGCATCTTTTAAAGGAAGCGACTCTCCCCAAATAGAATGGAGAGGTGATCCACTTAGAGGGGTTGTCCTGGAGATCAAAAGACCTCTTTTTCGAATCTAATCCCGTTAGTGGCTTCCATCAAATCGCGACAGAAATGGAGAAGCTATCTTCTGCTGGCGAAGCGCGAAAAGTAGAGGACTCTCTTCTCCTTTGTTTTGAGATACAAAAAGGTTTTACTTGACTTGGGAAAAAGGATTCGCGGGGCTTGGTAAAAGAGAAGAGAAAATCTCTCTCTTTTTTCAATTTAGTCAAAAATATTTTTGGAGTGTTTGGATAGTTTCGGTTTTTTAAGCTGTGTTAAAAGATGTTTTTAATGTTGAGTTAGAATTTTTAACTTTCGTTATATTAAAAGTTTTGTGAGACTCTTAAGAATAATATGTGAAATGAGTGTAAATTGTCTATTAGTTTAATTTGCTTCAATAAATATTTTTTGTTTGTTGAAAATTTATATATATTAGTGCTTTTTATTAATGCTAAAAAATGTTGATTCGTTCGAAAAGTATCTTTTAAAATTTTCAAGGCTTTTTTTTTATTGATGAAAAAAATGGCATTAAACATGCCACTGATATTATTGATTCAAAATTTCCCAATATGAACATTAAAAAACCCGTTTAACCGAATTCATTCCACGTTGGAACTTCTGAAATTTGAAAAAACATCCCTTAGCTTGGCATTAGTGGTTTTTATATTCTTCACCTTGAACTCATTTGAAAAATTTTTCAGCATAGAAACATATCGCTCCTCTGGTAAAGACGAAAGAACTTTTAATTTTGTTTGCTTTCTGGATTTTGATTTGAGCTTTACCAGTTTAAAAGCTTAAAACATAAACCCTAGGTTATTCTTGGACCAATATTTATAGGAACTTATTTATAAGTTCCATATAGAATAAAATAGTATTTTAAGAACCTATTTTGAAGAAAAGGGGTTTATCTGTAATTGCAGATATCTGTCCAGCAAAGTTTTCTTTCATTTTATTTTTTAACTCTTTTTGGGCATCCTGTAACGGACACCTAATTACGGACGCATCGACAGCTTTTGCTTTTTTCCAATCTCCTTGCTTTAGTGTCTCATAGTAAGCGATGTTTTTCTAATATTTTTCTCTGTAATTTAATTTTTATTTTTCTATTTTTTTAATATAAGCAATTACATTTTATGCAAATTTTATAATTAATTTAAGATGTGAAGGTTTAATGGTACTTAATACCATATTGGACTACGTAATCGGTACGCCCGTTGCCCTGGGAATGCAGTATTCTTTAAAGTGACTGTTATTAGAATTTTAGACCTGATCATTCTTTGTCCTTATTTATTCTACTTAATTGTAGCTAAGGGTGCAAGATAAAAGAATGTTTATAAATATAATTACATGAGAAGACATAATAAATTTATGATTCCGCATCATTGCATTGAAATGCAATGCAATGATGCGGAATCATAAATTTATTATGTCTGCTACTCATACTATGGTTATCAGTACATTATTTTTTATAAAGTTTACAAATATCAAATTATTATTATTTTTATGTTTTATTTGAACTAGAGATAAAATGAAATCTGTTATTTTAAATCATCTATTATTTATAAAATTTATTATTTACGTTTATTTTTGGCATATCTAATGTAAAAAATATTTTTTTTATTTATGTTAGAAAAATATTTTTTTAATATAATTCTATTTGGAGTAAAACAAATTCTATGTTTTATTTTATATTAAATATATTTTAACATTTATTCTTATGGTAATTCAATAAAAATATAATTGATCAAGCTGAATTTTTAAATAAATCTATTTAATGTGAAGTTTACCGGTTGTAAAATTGAGGATAAAAATAAACGACTTCTTTATAATTGTTAAATAAAAAAAACCGGATAAGCACTTCTAAATCAATCCTGTCTACAATTAAAGGATTACTAAAACGTATAATATAATACTTTTAATATCTCTAGTTACGTTTGTATGTTAGTATGGTTGTACAAATCATACATTCATACATTTATTTTTTTAATATAACGCTTGAGCTCATCAAGGTGTAACACTATACAATAAAATACGAGTATACAAATAAACGAAACAAATAATTTTCCTGTTTTACATTATCAGCGGATTAATAAATTATTGTTCTATATCTAAACAGTATAAATTCTAACTATACTACTATTCTCTAGTAAAGCTTTTTAAAACAAGATTTTAAAGATACAGGATTTTGAAAATACACATAAGACATCCCTATTATATAATATTTTTCTCTCAGTACAATACGCAAAATCCTATATTATAGTAAAATACATATGGATGTTGCGTAGAATACTATAAATAAAAGGAAATCCAAGAATACTCCAAGGACAAATATAGAAAGAAATCCTACAATCATATCTATTCACAAACCTACTCAACCACATTCTTTTCCCTGACAACCATTTGGAGGGGAAAAACTTTACTTGTAGAATATTTCAGCCAACCAATGCTCAAACTTTAAAAAAATATATATAAGAAAGTATATATATAAAAAAAAACAGGATTATACGGTGGGCATCATTCCAGAAAATGGTAGGTTATCTTTTGGGGCTTCTCTGAGAGGGAGTAAGGCTATAAAGAAAACGACTTTTGAAATCCAAACGTGCGAAATTTCCTTTTGCAGAACGCAAAACTCTTTTCTACTGTGCATAGTATGAAATTAGACGATTTTTTCCCCTTGCCCAGTGTCCGAAGGAAACAAATCTATTGTTCGTGATACTGGACGAGCATGTATATTTGATAAACGGTTCTTCCATTCGGACAGAAAAAGAATAGTATGGAAAAGAATAATATTTTATTTTATGCAGACGATTCTGTATATTTTTCTTTCCAGTCTTCTTCCAACAGTTTGTAGTAATGTAAGAATAAAATACAGAAATTATCGTTTTGAATGCTCATGGAACTATTCGAGCATAATGGGAAATGTTGTTTTAAATACTACTACTGTGTCCAAAAAGTAAGACCAATTTTCAATTTAAAATTCCCGGGGCTTATGGAATTTCAATTTTCTTTTAGGTTACTGGCATTGTCCTTGACATCTGTGCGAAATTTTGGCGCCAAGATATTTATTAGTGTTTGAGTTACGCTTGACTTTGTGAGACGCTAAAACTGATTCCAGCGATTTTTGAAATGTCTGAATTAATTGAGCAAAGAGCTTGTATTCAATTTTGTTTGCGGAAACGTATAGAATGTTGCAGAAGACATTCGGTGAGCATTCCTATATCGAAAAGAATTGTTTAAAAGTGGTATAAACAATTTAAAGAGGGCAGAGAACGAGAAGACGAAGAACCCCCTGGTCGACCCTCAACCTCAACCGACGAAGTTCACGTCCAGCAAATTAAAGATTTGCATAAGTGCATTGTGTCCTGAGGGGATTACTTTGAAGGCGATGAAATAAATTTGGAAAAATAATTAAAGAGTTTTTGAAAACAAAATAATTAGCCTTACTTTTTGGGCACAGTAGTACATAGTACATTTCAGAAGTAGATGATTAATTCAATATTAGTAAATTAGACTGCCCAGAGTACGAAGGAAACAAATCTATTGTTCGTGATACTGGACGAACATGTATATTTGATAAACGATTCTTACATTCGGATGGGAAAAAGAATCGCATGGAAAAGAATAATATTTTATTTTATGGAGACGATTCAGTATATTTTTCTCTCCAATCTTCTTCCAACGGTTTGTAGTAATGTCAGAATATAATACAGAATGTATCTTTTGTGTGTCATGGAACTATTCGAGCATACTGAGAAATGTTGTTTTAAATAACATACTTCAGAACTATTAAACGTGAATTATTGACGATTATTATGCAAAATATTTAAAGAAGTGCATAGCATTTTTAATAGTTTGTATAATATCGTTAATAGTTAATATAACTGCATAGTTCGAAGAAACATTACATTCATCGTTACAGAAAACACGTCGCTGAATTTCTTTAAAAAATATTTTACAGTAAAATATTTTGAAAGAAAAGTTGCACAGAAAATCTAGATAGTATATTTTATGATTTTTAAATAACCATTTATTTTCGTTAAAATTTTTTTTTTATATTTTTATTCTAAATATTTGTTTTGAAAATTATTTTAAAAATAAAAAGATTCTAATAATAATTATAGTTTTTCTTTAACAATTTATCAAAAAAAAACTCATCGTGCTAAATTTACTGCTGAAAAATTATAGATTTAATTATAAGCAATATTGGTAAAAGCAGATTTCTTAATTTAGATAGTATATTTTATTGCACTTTTTGAATAATAGTACTATATATATATATATATATACAAAAGAATTTATGTGTAAAATAAACATTTTGTTGTTGTTGTTGTTGTTTCTTATCCCACTTGGCTGGCCAAGCCCACAAGCCCATATGGACTCATGATTGAAAGGGAAGGAAGCAGCTTCTGTTGTGATGGAGCACCCGTAGGTAGAAGCCTGACTTTTGCTCCGTGACGCTCTTACAGTCATAGAAGACCGGGACCTACGGCTTAAAGTGGATTCCGAACCACTACAAACATCCATGGCACCGCCGGGATTCGAACCCGAAACCTGTGGCACCGAGCGCCAGAGCGCTAGACACTCGGCCATTCAGGTCCCAAATTTGCCAACGGCACGCGGTGTTCCCAGGTGGTCACCCACCCAAGTACTGACCGCGCCCAATGATGCTTGACTTCGGTGATCTAACGAGAACCGGAAACATTTTGTAAAATGAAGAATATTACTTGAAATACAACTAAAACCAAGAAAAGAAAAGAAAGCGGAAAATTTTTTATCTGATATCATTGTACCTTCCACAAATCTACACAATGATATTGTGACTTCTCGACCTATACCAGGTTCAAGAAGAGGGCCATTTTCAGGTTAATGGGAACAATTTAATTTTATTTTACAAGCATATCTTTCTTTATATATATATATATATATATATATATATACAGAACTCTGTTTACCAAAAAATGAAAATTAAAAATCAGTTGATTCACAAGTGCAGTTCATTCCAAGGACGGAGATTTTCAGAGTTCTCAATTCTACGATAAATCTATTTTACCAGGTCTGCGGCAGACCTTAATCATCATACGGCGTGATAAACGAAACTATAAGGGACTCACTTTGAAAACAGGAGAAAACTATTCTGCTACTTCAGAAGAAAAGAAAAACCACTTCTTGTAGACTCGTCGCAGGACTATATTTCTTTTTCTTCAAAAATCTCACTTTATGACAATCCGTCAAGGGAGTTAGTTTCCCTTATTTCTTATTGGAGTAGACACTTTCTCAACCCATGGTCTATCAGAAATCACAATGCAACCACTGATGGTGTAGTCCATATCCCATTAGTAATTGTTTCGACCTGTGAAGATGCACTGCTTATCTGCTGACAAATTTTAGTGATATGTTGCTATTATGCACTTGTTAAAGAATATATATTCCTCTCTCCTGGGAATGAAATGCTACAACTCTTTCCGTGAGAAAAATGCTACAATATGCTCAAAAATCCTCACAATGCCTTTTTCAGAAATATACATTTTAGTCATCAAACTTTAAAATTAAATTTCTTATGAACGAAATAAAACTGAATTATTCGTAAAAATATTTAACAGAAAAAAAACCAATATCTATACATCTGAGAAAATGAATTCTCTAAGCCTGTTTTTCAAATACATTATCTGTTTTTTGTTCAATCTATTTATATCTAGAAGGTTTAATAAATTAATAATAACAATAACTTACCGAAATGAAAAGTTACTTCGATTGACAAATTGATTAAAAGTTTAAAATTCTATCACAAAGATTCTTAGAATTGTGTTTCATATCCGAAGAAAACCTTTCTATTTTTGTGAAGATACTTCAAAATACACGACAAACAGTTTTCGACTTTTTCAATCATACATTATTTCTCCGAGTCAATGTCAGATCAGTGTCAGTTTTCAACCTTTTCAATCCAATCAGATATCAATGTCAGATCTTTCTTGAAAAACATATAACGTATTCGTATTTTCTTAGTATCTTTTTATCAAGGACAATATTAACTTATAAGATATCTTTTTTAATCTATTTTGAACTTTCCGAATTTTTCGCAACCTTTTAAATAAATCGAATAGTCCACTTTAACAACTTGAATTTACTTGAATAAATTCAGCACAATTATAATTTTTTAAATGAAATACAATACTGCAAAAAGAAATTTAATCTTTTTTTTTTTTTCAGTTCCTTCAATTAGCTCACACTCTCCCTATATATATATCTTGTTCAAATTTTCAATCGTTAATAAAATACTTTTTATTCATCCACTCAAGTTCAAATACTTTTTTTTGAACTTGTAGTGGATGACACTTGATGTTAATACAGTTTTTTCAAATATTAATTCAGTAATTAACTTTCATTAATTAATAAAAAAATTTTTAGATTTAAGTTGCATATATTTACAAATAGATGCCGCCAGATGAAGTTAAAAAAAATGAATGAAAATTATTTATAAAGGACTTTCTACATTATAATGAAAAAAAAAGTAGGAATTGACTTAATTTTTTTTTTATATTACTTGTTTTATAGAACGATAATTTGATTTCAATATCTCACAAAACTCTTTAAATGGATGTGCCATTCATATAAATTGCTAAATATAAAAGTTTGTAAACTAAATAAAGGAAATTTATTGCTTTAAAAATTTTATCATGAATATCAATTTTATTTTATTTACATTTTTTAAAAAATGATTTTGAATAAATTCGTTTGATAACAATACAATAAAACAATAATAAAACAATAATACGAGTACTTGATGAAAAAATGAGTATTACTCAAAAAAGTTTTCACATGAGAACAATCAATTTCAATAAAATTCTTTAGACAGTTTATCAAAATAATTTTCAGTATTTGGATGGATATCCACAATATTAAAGAACATAGTTTTTTATACGAAATATTTTATTCGTAAATGAGCAGCTATTTTATTCAATTTTTCAGTTTTCAAAAATTGTAGATATTGGTTTAAAGCAATGTTATATTTACGGGCTCTATTTTAAAACTATGGTCAAATATGCTCTATTGGATGCAATCCTTGTGACTGATTAACATTTTAATAAGTGTTCATGCATTCAAAGCATATTTTCAGAATGTTCAATTGTGGTAAAGTAACCACAATTAAACTTTTCTGAAAGTATGCATATAATCATTATTCTGAGAGATTTTCAAAACATTCTGTGGATGGAAATTTTTGGCTGATGATTTTAAAATTTAGTTTGAGGTGTCAATATGCGTATCCAAAGTGTCATGAATAAATTCAAATTTATCTACTCCAGAAATCACAAACACCATCTCACCATAAATCCTTCCTCGCCATATTTATCGAAGGGAATTGAGTTTTTTCTGAAACTTTTATCGATTTCCCCTAACCATTAAATAACTTAAAGTCCGGAATACATTTAATTTACTTTCATTATCAAATATAACACTTCCTGCCTTGGACTGATTGAAAAATTTATATTTATGAGTTCAAAACAAATTTGTAAATATATCAGGAGTGTATTATGTTTTACAGTTAAAAGATTAAGTACAAGCAAATCATAATCAATCCGAAAGAAAGATTTAGAATGACTTATATCAATCTTTGCATATAAAAAATTTAGTAAGAACTCATAGACTTTTATTGGGGTTGATTGTTCTTATGTGAAAACTTTCGTGAGTAACATTCTTTCATAATGTATTATTTATTGTTTTAAAACGAACTGATTCAAAATAAATTTTTTTTAAATTAAATAGAATAAAAAGGATATTCATGCTAAATTTTTTTTTAATATTTCCATTATTTAATTTACAAAATTTAGATGTCTATAAATTTGTATGAATGCTGAAGAAAAAAAAATTAAAAATTGGATACAATACATACGATTCTTTTTCATTGACATATTATAAGAAGTTAAAATTTCGCCTTCATATGCTTTGATTTATACTTTTATTACAATTTTTTTTTTTTTTTTATACTTTTTCTCGTTTTATTCTTTTAATTCCCATACAATTTTACTAATGGATGTTTTAGTTCTGATATATTTATTAATATATTTTTTCTCCTGTATCATTTTTTGTCTAAAGCCAAATGTATCAAATGTCTAAAACCAAACAGTGTAATTTTCTTTCACATATATTGCTGAGCTTCTATATTGCGAATATTCTGAAAAGATTAAGTAACACATTTTTCAACTATTTATTTTATAATATATAAAATAAATATGTATTTTATTTTCACTTCATTTTCGAACTCTAAAGTTTATAATACCACAAACAGCAAGTATGAAGCTGAGGAAATCATCAACTGGTCAGGCGTAAAAAGCTGTCAGATTAAGTAATATATTAATGGATATCTTAGAACCCAATTGTCACATTACAGCATCTGCACCATCAGGCTCGCATTAAATTCAATCAATGTCCAAAGCAAGAGATCGCCTTAGAGCCGCATAAATTGAAAATGTGAGTCCAAACAGACACAATTGAGGGTTTAAATGGGAGAGTTGTGGGTGTATTCTCGGGAAAGTTTCGATCAAAGGGCCTGCGTTCGGAAAGGGGTGTTTCGCTGCTGAATAAGGCCCATTAATAAAGATCCTGGCATTCGAAAACGCTCAATGCGTGCACTTTAGTTGAGAATAAATGGTAGCTATTGTTTCGTTGCGGTTGCAGTTTTAACCCTTAACATGTCAAGAGATTTATGGTGGCCTCGCATGTTAGTGTGATAATTCACCTGCGCATTTTAACTTTAACCGTTATAAGGTACATTGATGGTATTATTTTATAAAACTCTAATCATGTTTTATAGCATTTAATTTATTATTAACTTATTGAAATTTAATATAAGCCTATACTTAGTTTAGTATATGTAAGTTATATGTACTTCAAAATGTTTTTTGCTTAAAATTACACTAAAGAAGAGAAGAATTTCAATTAAAGTTGATACTTTATAGTTCAAGTTATTTTAATTAAAATTGAAAAAAAGTTGTTGTAAGCTGTTGAACAAAGTTGTTAAAAGTATTTCAATTGAAGCTGAAATAAAGTTGTAAGTTGTTGGACAAAGTTGTTAAAATTATTTCTGTTAAAGTTAAAAAACGTTGTTCTAAATTGTCGCACCCAGTTGTTAAAGTTATTTCAATTAAATTTGAAAAAGTTGTTGTAAGCTGTTGGACAAAGTTGTTAAAATTGTTAATTAAAGTTGAGAATAATTGCTAAAAAAAAATATAGAATTAAAACTTCGTCTCGTCAATACTCATCATAGTCATAATTGATATTTGATGCTTTTTGTTTATTTATTATTTTATAAATTTAAATAAAGTTATCTATATTGCTAATTTGCTATTGATATATTACCGAATATAATTAAATCAATAAAACATTAATACGATTGTTTCAACTGTCAATTCATTTATGCAAATTTTAATTTGCTTATAATATCGTATTAAAAAAATAAAATACGAAACGTTGGTAAAAACATGCACTTTCAAATAACGTAAAATAAGTTTTCTAATAGAACATTTTAAAAAAAAAACTATTTTTTATGAAAAAATTTAAATTATTATTAAATGCAGAGTTATTACCAATGTTTAAAACAAAAATATTGCTAAATAAATGCATCAGATCTATTTTTAAAAGAATATATTTGATTGAATCGTTTTGTTTTTTCTTGCAATAGATATTGTTTTTTGACTAAAAG